GAAATGTTCACATTATAACATTGTCAAAGAAGGCGCAGTAATCCGTGATCCCTGTTTTGCTATATGTACATATATACGTAAATGTGCATACACACACACACACACACACACACACACACACACCCCATACATATATGCCTTTGTATATGGAGAAGGGGAGAAATCTCCCCTCGCATTCATACATATAAACAGTTGAGATTTTTTGTTAATGCTCAGACAAAATAAACCACTTTGTGCTGAGTGTATAGGTAATTTTAATTGTCTTCTTTGTAGTCTTCAAATTTGTCTTCAGTGAGTACATGCAGCTTTCAGCTGGTAATTCACTTTTATAAGCAACAGCCAAGTGAGCTACCATGCCTGTTCCCCAGCTCATCCTCCCACAAGGTTGTCCCAGGCCCGTCCATCCTCCCCCTTGAAACTTACTCTTCTATCAATTCCCTGTGTTTCTCTTCCCCCTAGAGCATTCCTCTGTGACCCCCCCTCACCAGCTCCTCCTAGTCCCCTACCTGGGGTGATCCAGCCTTCTGCTCGGTTCACCCCCTGTCCCAGCCTCAGCCCCTACTTTCTCTGGTGCCCCCCACCCTCATCACCACCTCCTGCTCTGAGCCCACCTGGCTTGCCTTTGCGGGCCTCCTTTCCATGAACAGAGGGTCAGAGTAGTTAATAAACTTATAAATATGAGGTCTACAGACTGGCCAAGGGCTCTGCAGCCTCCCAGTCTAAGCAGACCCGTGGGTGAGCTTGTGGACTTAGCCATCTTGGCTGTCATGCAACATTGCTGCTGCTCGCTGGCCGGCATGGGGGCAACCGAGCAGCTCTAACCCATGTGCCCTCTCTGACCCTTCCTCTGTCCTTGACCTCCATCCCAGATTTGAATGATGTTTGCTTCCCACATTTTCATTTACCTATACTAATTTTGTGTTTGTTTGTTTGTTTGTTTTTTTGAGACGGAGTTTCGCTCTTGTTACCCAGGCTGGAGTGCAATGGTGCGATCTCGGCTCACCGCAACCTCCGCCCCCTGGGTTCAGGCAATTCTCCTGCCTCAGCCTCCTGAGTAGCTGGGATTACAGGCACGCGCCACCATGCCCAGCTAATTTTTTCTAATTTCTAGTAGAGACGGTTTCACCATGTTGACCAGGGTGGTCTTGGTCTGTTGACCTCGTGATCCACCCACCTCGGCCTCCCAAAGTGCTGGGATTACAGGCTTGAGCCACCGAGCCCGGCCAATTTTGTGTTTTTATTACGTTTTAAATTAGAGGGGGAAATAAGGACATTTAAAAGTCTGTTATAACAGGATTGTTAGCTTTTAGGAGGTATTGGTCTGCCACCACCACCATTAGTCTGTTGTTCCAAAAAAAATTATTATTGAGGAGTGGTGTGATATTAAATATAATGTGAATCTATTTCTGAAGGAATTAGATTGAAATTTAATTGAGGATTCCTTGTGCATCTTAGAGCTAAAAATAAGAAATCGTATGTTGGCCTCAGAATTCCTTACTCCCTCTAGTTTCAAGCAGAGGGAGCCCATTCAGGAAGCTTCTAGAAAAGGAAGTGCCCACCATTTAGATTCACATTTAACAAGTTTTTAACCCAGTTTTAAATTAGCCCCAAATCACCCTTAATAATTGGTATTCCCCATCAGCCAGGATTTTGTCTATCTTTATTTACTTTCTTGGTTTATATTATAAAAAATTATTTATCCTTACTTCTTTTCAGGTATAAAATTATACAGTCAGGTGCCACATAATGATATTTTGGATGTGACAGTGGTCCCTAAGCTTACAGTGGAGCTGAAAATTTCTTGCACCTGACGATGTCTTGATGATGCTGACCGTTTGTAGGCAGAGGCTAAGTGTGTGTTTTTCTTAGTTTTTAACAAAAAAGTTTAAAGAGTTAAAAAAGATTAATAGAAAAAATCTTATAGAATAAAGACATAAAGGAAAAAATAATGTTTGTACAGCTATACAATATGCTTGTGTTTTAAGCTAAGTGTTATTACAAAAGTCAAAAAAATTTTTTTAATTTGAAGTTTATAAAGTAAAAAAGTTTCAGTAAGCTGAGGGTAATTTATCATTGAAGAAACAAAAGTGTTTTTATAAGATTAATGTAGTCTAGATATACAATGTTGATAAAGTCTACAGTAGTGTATAGTCATGTCCTGGGCCTCCACATTTACTCTCTACTAACTCACTGACTCACCCGAACAACTTCCAGCCCTACAAGCTCTATTCATGGTAAGTGCCTTAGACAAGTGGGCCATTTTTTATCTCTTATACTGCATTTTTACTGTACATTATACATGTTTAGATATTCAAATACCATTGTGTTACAGGTGCCTACAGTATTCAGTACAGTAACACGTGGTACAGGTTTGTAGCCTAGGAGCAAAAGGCTCTACCATATATCCTAGGTGTGTAGTGGACTTGACCATCTAGGTTTGTATAAGTACACCGTATGATGTTCGCACATGGTAAAATCTCCTAACAATGCATTTCTGAGAACGTAGCCCCATCAAGTTTCTCATGACTCTATATTGACTGTGCTTTTCACCGTTCCAGAAAACTCCCCTCATTAAAAAAAAAGTCACTTTCAGTTTTTAAGTTGAAATCAGGAAAATTCCCTTACTTAGTGCCTTTATGAAGAAGCCGTCTTTTCTTATTATTTGCAAGTGAGTGACTATGACCACTGTAATCTTAAGAGGAAAGATTAGGAAATATGAGAGGGAGAATGATTGAGATAGGAGTAAATTCTTGGACAAAGAGAGCATTGTGCCCAGAATGATGGATAGCTCATCCTGAGACCAGCAAGCATGGTAAGCACAAGGGCTGCTACCAACCAGCCCTACCCAGGCTTTCTTCTCACCCTGGGAGGTAGGTCAGTGAAGGGCTGAGACTCAGGGATGGGTGAGGAGACCTGTTTCTACCCATTCTTAGTGTTTTGTTTTGTTTTCTGTTGTGTTGTGAAAAAACAAAGTCTATGTAAAAAACATCTCTGCCTAATTGTCATAACCCAATTAGGGTGGCTGAGGTCTGTGAAGAGGGTGAAGATTGGTGGTGATTAGGTGCCGAGACAGCACACAGGTGGAATCAAGGCTGGTCAAGGGCCAAGAGCAGCTGACCAGTGGTTCAGGGAGTCATGGGGCACATGACAGGAGTGCAGTAGGGCAAGTCCATTCTCTCACGAGTCACTTGGCCTGCAGCCAGTCTGCCTGTCATGGGTTCCTCAGCTTTCTGGGGCCCCTCCACCTGGAGGGTAGCCTCTCTTAAGCTCAAAGAATCTAAAACTTCCAGAAAAGCTGGCTTCCCCATGGGCCCTACGCATCTTGTCCACACTCAAGAAGCAATTTTTCCTCTTGACTTCACCCTGTCCTCCCCATCTCCATGGTCCTAGCTCTCTGCCTCACCTGGGATGTCTTCCCTTCCCTGGCAGCATCTCAGGCCCAGATGCTTCTCTCTGTTTCCTCTGCCTTGGGTCCCCACCACCCCCACAAGCCCTCCTGGGTGCTAAAGGGACTAAGGCAGTGAAAAATCCAAGTCTTATGGCCATTCCTGGAGTCGAGTCATGAAGCAAAAATCTCAAAAGCTTCCAGAGAGAAAAAACAGGCCCTTACCAACGTATACTAGTTTCTAAATAGCAACACTGAATTCTCAAAAACAGTGATGGCCTGCCTTTGAATTCTAAAGGCAAATGATTTCCAACATAGAGCTCTGGACACAGGCAAACCATCCATCAAGTATGTTGGAATAAAGTCATTGTATGACATGTCAGATCCCTAAAACTGACTCTATTATGTCCTCTTCCTGAGATAGCTGCTTACTCAGGAGGCACCCAACTGAGGCCCCCAGGCCAAATCTGGCCTGCCACCTGTTTTTGTGTTTACATTTTTAAGTGGTTACACCTTATGTGGTTATATAAGTACCTACACAATATTCTCTATTTTGCCTCTTTCTCCTTTACTCTCTGGTTCTTTAAGGCAGTTTGCTGATTCCTGTGCTGGACCAGGTGCTCCACTGAACCCAGGACTAAATTAAAAAAGAGGAGTCATGAGATCCAAGAAACAGGAGATGGACACAGGAGAGAAGGGGTAAAGAATGAAGGGAGGACCCAGAATGACTGCCTGTATCAGGCATCAAGAGAAACATGCCCAGATTTGAGTTGGGGGACAGAGGGCTGCCAGAGATGGCACCAAGAAAAAAAAAATGGAAGCAGTTAATTAATGTGTTTGAATCTATTGAGAAGAACTTTATATTCTGCTAGAAACTTTAGGAGTGAATTGGCACTAGACAGATAAAAAACTAACCAGAAGATTAAAAAATAGTGTTTAACTTCCTGGGAAAACAAGATGAATAATAAACAAAATGCAGGCATAAAAATTATAGAACACATCACTCAGCTAGGAATGATGGCTAAATCATAGTAATGTCATTGCTCAAGTTTGATTTAACCAAATGTTGAAACAGAAGCAAATTGGAAGGTGGAAGGAAAAATGAATGGGAAAGAAAGCTAAGTTTTCACCTTTCATAGTAGTAAGTTAAAAGCAAATAAAATCAAGAATTAACATTGTAAGAATGTAATTTAAATATAGAGATGTAATTATTGATTGAAACAGCTAAAATAGTTTAAAGTATTCTGCTTGTAAGGAGCTTGCATCAGAGGTGGGCCAGGGGATGCTGTATTTTGTTGTAAGCCTTCCTCATAAAATGACTTTTATTTTCTGTATTTTTTTGAGACAGGGTCTTGCTGTATCACCCAGGCTGGAGTGCAGTAGCATGATCATAGCTCACTGCAGCCTCAAATTCCTAGCCTCAAGTGAACCTCCCACGTTGGCCTCCAAAGTGCTGAGATTACAGGCATGCGCCACCATGCTCAGTCTGATTTGACTTTTTAAATAATTGTACCTATATTACTTTGAAAACAATTTTTAAAAAAAGAAAAAAAAAGTGACAAAGCAGCCTGGTGGGTGATGTGGCAACCATGCCTAGGTGGGAGCGTTCAGGCCCCTGTTTGGAGGACATGACAGCTCTGGTTACTACTGTTTCTGACATGAGTGTGAATGCATGTCAATAAAATGTCAAGACTGAGAGCCATGCATTCAAGCAATGAACATTTACTGTTTCAGTCCCTGGCTATAGTTGCACAGATAAATAAATCTTGGTCCCTGCCCTCAAGGAGTTCACAGCACAGTGGGCGATAAAATTCCTCATCCAACTAATGGATGATTGATTGCTCCACAAGGTGATAAGAGGTACTCCAAGGCAGGTGATTGTGAAAACAAATTGCCTAAAAATCAGAAGTCATTCAAATAGAGCCCTGGGAAACTAAGCAGGAATTGGGCTGGGAAGAAGGTAAGAGGTCAGTGTCCCAGCACAGGGACAGAAAATGCAAAGGTGCAAGGACACCCAGGCCTGGTGCAGGTTGAGACCTGCCTGTGGCCTGGAGCCAGGAGCTTAGGGTTTATAGAGGGTGAAGAGAAAACAGATGTCAGTTCAGTGGCCTTGTGTGCCATGCTAAAGAATCATCTGTGTTCTCTCCTGAAGGTTATGGGAATCCCCTTGAGGCCCCTACTAGAGGAGAAGCATCATCAAAGCCTGCTGTCAGCCCAGTGTAGAAAATAGAATGGAAGCTGGGGTAGAGAGCTGAGCAAGGAGACAGACAAGCATTCGAGGGAGAAACCATGAGGGTCTGTGCTGAGGTAGCAAGAGAAGGGCAGAGGAAGGTAGGTGCATTTGAAGATATAGGAGCTGAATAGACAGTCGGAGACCTCGTTAGATATGGGAGGTAAGGGAGATAAATAAGGCAAGGATGGTCCCCCCGGTTCTTGTCTGGACACAGGCTAGCGGCAGTGCCAAGTATAATACAAGGAGAAGACTTCAGGAGGGTTGGAGAAAGAAGCTGAGAGAAATGTTGAATATGGATGGGGAGGGATCTGTGGGCATCCAGGTGGAGGTCAGGCAAGCAGTTATAGATGGGAGAGCCCCTGGACTGGAGAACATAGGGGACAGGGGGCAGGGAGCAGTCCATGGGACAGGGGTGGCATCTCACACTTGAGGAGTGTCTAGCGAGAGAAGAGGATCCTGAGAGAGCTCAGGAGGACACCCAGACATGAGGCATAGACAGAGGAGGAGGAGGTCTGGAGGAGGCTGAGAGGGACCAGGGAGCTGGGGTTAGGAAAGCGGAGACGGAGAGGGTCCCATGCTGCCGGCGGCCAGGTAAGCCTAAGTATCAGGGGTGCCCTCAGCGTTCCAGGATTACAGTAGTTAGCATATCTGCCCCCGCAACAGCCTTTGGAACCCCCCACTCATGTGTGACAGCCAAAAATGTCCTCCCATGTTTCCAAACACTTGTCAGGGCCAATTACAAGACTATTTGGTGAGGGCGGGTAAATTGAGTTTGTAGTGAAAGCCAGGTTAGAACAAAACCACAGCTCCTCAGTCCTGCTGTGGTCTTTCCCTCCTCAGGTCTCTTCCAGGGCTACCCAGTCACTATTTATTTTTTGAAGTTTATATTACCGAATTCCTAGCACATGTCAGGGATGCCAAAGTGAACATGACAGTCAAGGTGATGTAGACATTTCTGCTCCTTTGTTCAGCTAAAACCGGGTTTTTCTCACATGACCAGGAAAGATGAGGCCCACAGACACATTGAAAGGTGAAGAGAACAGAACTTATTAAAAGAAAGCTCTCAAAGCAAAAAAAAAAAAAAAAAGAGGTCATGCCAACAGGCTCCACCTCACAGACTGGATTCCTGGCCGGCACACTTGAGCTAGAGTCCAGGCTCCTCCCTCTGCCCAAGGCGCGAAATCCAGAGGCTCCGCCCCCATCCCCCCAGTGCGCATGTGCATATTTTCTGAGAGAAGCAGTTAGGAAAAGGGCCGGCAGATGGGGAGGTTCTTCCTCTGTGTTGCGAGTTTTATATGGGCCCAGCTGCTGGGTCGTTATGCTTTCAGGCTGTTTTAGGCTTGAATGGGGGGTTTCCGCTAGGTATCCTTGGCTGTCTCCTGTCTCTATCAAAGGTCTCCCCTCTTGGAGCTGCCAGGGAACAAACATTTGAAGCCAGTTGGTGGTTCCTTAACTAGACCCATTTGCAGAAGATGGGAATGGGGTGGGCAGCAGGGCATGTGCTTGGCTCAGGGAGGAGTTGGGCTGAAAAAAAGGGGATGAGGCAGGGGAGACAGGCGGGGCAGCTGGGATGTGGAGCCAGTGGGAAGAGCTGGCCTTGAGGTTTCAGACACGAGTCCCACGCACAGCTGCGTCAGCACAGGGTGGTCTGCTGGGGCTAGAGGCCTGGCAGTCTGTGGTTTGTTCTTTGGGCACTGTGGCCAACACAGGAAAAGGCCTTGGGGAAAGCCAGCATGACGCCTGCTGACCGCACGCTCTATGGCGAGCACAGGCCAAGGCCTCACAGAGGAAGCTGAAGTTTAATGGAGGAGTCAAGGGTCCTAAGAAAACAGGGCGTGAATGGCATTTTGGAGGCAAGCCTCAGATAAGGAAAGCTAGAGGCTCCAAGGTTGATGACTCAGGTGTTACAGAGTGAGGGAGAAGAAGGAGGATCCCATTTGTGAAGAATGGCAGGAGCAGAAAGGGGGCGGCAGGGAACTAGCACAGAGAGGAGAAACGCGGAGGACTCCTCCACAGGCATCAGCACACATATGATGTGTGCCCAAATGATGACAAAAATTCTGTTTCTCGTACTTAAGGGGTTACTATGAAATTAAGAAGAGAAAGCAAATTAGCAGAATCTTCTTGTCTGCTCTCTCATTTAAGACCCAGAAGCCAGTGGGTAAAGAGATGGGCCCATGGCACACAATGAGTGTGCTGGGGGTGGCAGGCTCAGGGCTGGAGGCTAGGCTCTCTCTTATACTTCCTGCTGCTGGCTCAGTGGTGAGAGTCAGGACCAGGGTTGGGCTCTTTGGTTTTCCCTGTATGTGGGGAGCTACTCCATGGATACAATCCTTGCATCTTGATTGTGTGCAATAGCCATTCTCAGCATCTTTGAGTGACCACACCTGGTGATTTGGTTGGAAAACAGTGAAACCTTTTGGTGGTACTATTTTTTATTACCATGAAGTATAAAAATTCTATTCTGAGCCATTTGTGTCCTTAGCGCTTAATTTAGAAAGGAAGCCTGAGAAAAAGTTAACATTTCTGAGAAAGTTCCAGGAAGTCAAGCCTCGACGACAGCTACTTGGCCCCTCCCTTTACGTGAAGTGAATGGGATTCCCCATGGACTCAGAGTGGTTATATCATAGTAGCAGTTCCAGCAGAGCCTAGAAGCCCAACCTCAGGAGGTCTTGAGGGTGCCATACTACCTCCCATCTGCTAACAACATCCCTCAGCAGTGTCATTCCACAGGCCAGATACTATGACACCAGCGGATATTAAAAATGTGGCTTGACTAGTCTTAAATCTGTAAACCCAGTTTTACTACAGAATATATGTAAGGGAGATTATGAGCAATATATTACATGTCCCTTTCTTGCTGTTCCACATTCAGATTGACTGAAATCCAAAAATGTAATTGTTCAGGATTCATATATCACTAGAAAAAAATCAAGAAGAACATTGAGGAAGCTATAATGCTGTCTGCCAAATCATCTCCCATCCAGAAGTACCTTCGGTTTCTTCTCCCTCGTGTGTTGCGACCTCTCAAGTACAGCTAACAGTTTGTCTGGTGGTGGTTAAGCTCACTACGCTAAGGGTTTACATGTTACTACATTAATTAATTAGAGCACATTCCAGCAGCCTCAGTCCTTTAGGTTTAAATATCCACTGCCACAGGCCATGTTTTGTTTTTTTTTCCAAGATAGACTGGAGTTGGTTAGGTTCTGCATCCATTTTCCAAAAATTACAGCATTCCAAAGACTGGCATTTTTATTGCATTAGGGTGTTTGCTAATTTCACATATTACTGTGTTGGCATGCTCCCACAGCTCTGAATGTGGCATCCTACTGGTGTCCTTGTTAGCAGTCTGGTGTTCTGAGCCTGGGTTCTTGGGTGCCTGCTGTGGTGGAGAAAGTTTGGGAGCTGCCAGCAGAGAGAGAATTACCCAGAGAGACAAAAAATGGACTGTGCTATTCCAATGCCCGACAGCTCCTCAGTATTATTAAAATAGCTCATGAGTGTGAAGGGGCATAAATAGGGAGGCTCCAAGGGTGGTAGGGAGGGGTGCTGCTGCCATGGAGAGAGGGTTACTCCAGAAACTGAACACTGAGTGTGGTGGGCGATATATCTGGCCCCCAGGTTATGCTGCTGCTGTTGAGGCAAAGACAGACAGAGCCCAACTGGGCCAACCAAGTAGCTCTGTATGAAAGGCAAAGGGTGGACCTTGTGCTCAGTTCATAAGGCATTTGAGTACATTCAGTTCCACTGGCACACTGTGAATGTGCACCTCCTTCCAGGTGTGGGTCCTGAACTGACAGAATCTGGGCCTCAAAGAACAAGCACAAACATGCTAAAATCGTTCGTTCATTCATTTACAAGACATATACTGAGCAACTTCTATATAGTAGGCACTGTCCTGCTTATGGGGATTCACAGGTTGTCTGAGCATTAGTCCCCAAGAACTCAACTCCAGATGTGGAAAATGGAGGGCCGGTCACAGTGCAGCACAGGAACGGGCTACCACTGAGCTGGGTGTGAGGGACAGCCTCCTCGGCAAAAGGGACATAAGGATTGGTCAGTGGCTCATGGTGGGAAGAAGCCTTCAGCTACAACAAACAACCTGTCAGCTGTGCCTCTTCCACCTGGGTGAGGGTCCCCTGGTTTCAGCTACGGCACAAGAGAGTCAGGGCATGATTGGCAGCCAGGGAAGCACCCTCAGGAAGCACTGGCTTGATTGCTGGTACTGTTTGTTTGTCATCCGACTATTTCAGCCAGTTGGGTTAGGACAAAACTGTTCTTGTGAAGGGTTGAGCCTCCTTTTGGCTCTGAATTGGACAAGCAGGCCTCTGGTGGGAAGGATGGGATGAGGTGGGCAGAGCCAGAAGTTTTCACAGAGCTCCTCTTCAGTGTCCCCTGCCAGTATGTTACTTAGGAAGGAGCATTAGAAGGGAATCCTACCATGTGCCAATAGGCACTCTTTTCCCCAACAGGCAGCCAGGTGCTGGGTTGTTACTTTCTGCAGATACTTCATAGCAAAAACTGGAAATAGTTTGAAACCTACCAAGAGGGGACTGGGCAGAGAAAATGGTGGCATGTGTTATTGTAAAAAAAAGATGATGTAGTACATTTGTTGTCATGGAAAGATATCTTTAGAATGTTGATTGAAATGCAGGCGAGAAAATAGTGTTCATTGGTCCCGTGTTTGTGAATATTAAAATGCACATGCCTGGGAGAATGTTTGGAAGAATATATGGTTTGGCTGTGTTCCCACCCAAATCTCATCTTGAATTATAGTTCCCATAATCCCCACATGTCATGGGAGGGACCCAGTGGGAGGTAATTTAATCATGGGGGTGGTTACCCTCATGCTGTTTCCATGAGAGTGAGTGAGTTTTCAGGAGATCCTATGGTTTTGTAAGGGGCTTTTCCCCCTTTTGCTTGGCACTTCTCCATCCTGCTGCCCTGTGAAGAATGATGTGTTTTTTTCCCCTTCTGCCATGATTGCAAGTTTCCTGAGGCCTCCCCAGCCATGCTGAACTGTGAGTCAGTTAAACTTCTTTCCTTATAAATCACCCAGTCTTTAGTATTTCTTCGTAGCAGCATCAGAATGGACTAATACACATACTAACTGTGATGCCTGCAGGGATTGTGAGGTCTCATTTCCTTCCATTAGCTTGTTTGTCTTTTCTGACTTTTCTCAGGGCTCCTGAATTATATGTTGTCATAAAAGTATTAAAGAAAAAATATTTTGAGAAACAGCTCCCCAGAGCAAGACCTGTCACCCAGGCTGGAGTGTAGTGGCATGATCTTAGCTAACTGAAGCCTCCACCTGCCAGGCTCAAGTGATTCTCCTGCTTTAGCCTCCCAAGTAGCTGGAATTATAGACATGCACCACCACACCTAGCTAATTTTTGTATTTTTTAGTAGAGACAGGTTTTTACCGTGTTGGCCAGGCTGGTCTGAAACTCCTGATCTCAAGCAATCAGCCCACCTCAGCCTTCCAAAGTGCTGGGATTACAGGTGTGAGCCACTGTGTGTACCCAGCCTCCGTCTCCCCTCTTAAGATAAAACAAAGAAGCTGATAATTGAATATTTTACTAGTAGATGATGTTTATCACTTTATTCCTCAAAGTGATCTACCATTCAGAATAACTACTTTGTGGATATGCTAAGAAAAGTAAGGAAAAATCTGGTGAGCTTAAAAATGCTTGCTAAGTGAAGTATCGTGTATGTTATTTAGGGGACAATTGCTCTTTTACACCTGAATAAACATTTAAAAAATTGATTTCTCACCTCATCCTCACTCTCAAGATATACACTAACACAATGGCTTTATAGGTGAGGTTTACTAAAACTGTCAAAAAATAGCTAATCCCCATCTTACATAAACACTCTCAGAAACAGAAAAAGAAGAAAAGCTAGTCAATCCATTTTATGGGACTAGTTTTCTCTGACATCAAAATTTGACAAAGCTAGTAATAGACCAATCTCACTTTTTTTTTTTTTTTGAGACTGAGTTTTGCTCTTGTTGCCCAGGCTGGAGTGCAATGGTACGATCTTGGTTCACCGCAACCTCCGCCTCCCGGGTTCAAGTGGTTCTCCTGCCTGAGCCTACCAAGTAGCTGGGATTGAAGGCATGTGCCACCACACCCAGCTAATTTTTTGTATTTTTAGTAGAGACAGGGTTTCACCATGTTAGCCAGGCTGGTCTCGAACTCCTGAACTCAGGTGATCCACCCACCTTGGCTTCCCAAAGTGCTGGGATTACAGGTGTGAGCCACTGTGCCTGGTCCAATCTCACTTTTGAGCATAGGTGCAAAATGCAATATTTACTAATAATACTAATATTTACTAATTTATTACTGGTTAGAATTCACCAGTATAGTAAACACATATGCATCATGACCAAGTAAGGCTTATCCTGGGAATACAATGATGATTGAAATCAAAAAGTCTTTGAATAATTGGTTAAATTTACAAATTAGAAGAGATAAACTGTATGATCATCTCAGTGGATACAAAGAAAGTATTTGCCAAAATTGGATACATTTCTACTTAAAAGCAAAGAATGCCTTAGCAAAATAGAAATAAAAGGAAGATAACTTGATAAGGGGTATCCATCAAAACCCATAGCAAACAATGCATACTCAGGAATATTTTAGAGACAATACTGTTAAAGTTAAGAACAAGACAGGGATGCCATGTAACACTTTCTATTCAACACTGTGCTGGATTTTCTCCTGGTGTCATAAAACAGAAAAAGAAATAGGGGGGTCAAAGAAAACAATCATTTCGTGTAGGCAATGTTGTCTACATAAAAAATCCAAGAGATGCTATATAAAATATATTAGAATTCATAACAGAGCTCAGCAAAATGTTTCAATTGGAGATTAGTATACAGGGATCAGTTGGGCTCCTTTGCATCATTAATAATTTAGAAACTGTAACAGAAAATTTACACTAATAGCAGCAACCAGAAGTATAAGGTAGCTAGTGGTAAATCTAATGAAAGATATACAAGAGCTTTATGGAGAGGACTGTAAACATGACTGAAGGACACAGAAGGAGATCTGACTAAATGGAGAGACATACCATGTTAATGGAGAGGAAGTTCAGTATCATAAAAATACCAGTTTAGGCCAGGTGCAGTGGCTCACACCTGTAATCCCAGCACTTTGGGAGGTCAAAGCAGGTGGATCACCTGAGGTCAGGAGTTCAAGACTAGCCTGACCAAAAAGGAGAATCCCAGCTACTCAGGAGGCTGAGGCAGGAGAATCTCTTGAACCCAGGATGTGAAGGTTGCGGTGAGCCGAGACTGTGCCATTACACTGCAGCCTGGGCAACAAGAGCAAAAGTCTGTCTCAAAAAAAAAAGTAGATTTCTGTCCTAAAGACACCATAGCAAAGTTAAAATGTAATGCTACAGACCGGGAGAAGATAGTTCCCACCCCTGTGATTAGCAGAGGTTTGGTATCATAAGCAAAATGTACAATAAAGACAAATATATATAATTCAACTGAAAAAAATGAGTAAATTATATGAACAAGAAATTTGCAGAAGAGAAAAACCTTAAAGCCCAATAAACACACAAATATATTGACTCTCACTAGTAATCAGGGACATGCCTATTAAAACAAGGTACCTTTTTATACCTATCAGATTGGCAAAAATTAAAAAGTTGGTTGATTTGAAGTGTTGATGAGGAAGTGGAACCACAGGAACTCAGACACTGCTGCTGGGAGTGAAAATGAGTGCAGTCCCTCTGGAGAGCTATTGGCAGCCCTTGCTGCTGCAGGACTTGGCAATCAAGTTCTAGGTGTAGACCCCAGGAGACTGTTGTGTATGTGCGCACACAAAGAGACATGTTTGTGGACTTTTTTGCTTGCAGAAAATGGCAAGAACTTCAATGTCCATCAGTAGGAAACTTGAATATATAATATATTTACATAAGCAACTAAATGACTAAACAGGATACATCTTGAAAACAGGATGTGGAATAAAGAGATGCAGAAGGATCTGTGTAGTATGACACCTTTTGTGTGTAGTTTAAACATGATGTTGATGCATGTATACTCACAAAATGAGAGGAAAGCATAAAAACATGATGGATGAAACAAAAATACAACTTCTGAAGTGCAGTTTGATCTGGGAGCTAGAAGCAGAAGAGAGGGAGTTGGAAGCCAAGAGGACTTTATCTCTCCCTTTGAGGGTAAAATATTAAGAATTTTTCCATCCAGGTGGTGTTCACACAGTGTTTGTTAAACTGTGTTCTGTTTTGTCCATATGTTTTAAATGCTTAATATTTAAACTATTAAGAATTGTTCCATTTGGGTGGTGGCCACACAGTGTTAAATTATCTTCTATTTTGTCTATGTTTGAAATGCTTGGTGGTTTTTAGAAAATTAATTCTCGTGAGGGGAAAAAAACTGCTCAATCTCCATCCTAAAATGGGCAGTAATTCAGCAAACATTTAAACTAATTAATGTTTGTCACTCCTTGCTTCACAGCTCAGTGTGGCAGGCTGAAGCACTGGACTCAGGCAGACTTTGGGGCAGACTGCCCAATCCAGCTCTGCCACTTTCTAAATGGTAGATTCAGACAAGCTACTTAATCTCTCTTTGCCTTGGTTTCCTTGATGTGAAATGCTGCATCTACTGCTATTGCTGACATTAGTGCCTACTTCATGCAGTTGTTGCAAGAATGTGACGGTTTAACTGTGCATAAAGCACACAGAAGAGTGAGCACTTTATTATTATTATGCCTGAATATGATCTACCATTCAGAGAGACACTAGTTATTTGTTGGATGCAAGGGATGGGGGGGGGGGTGGGGATGAATAGCTTTATTTAAAGAAATCATATAAGTAGATGTTGTTTTTAGTGATGGTTACTTTTCTGCAGTGAGCCAAAAATATCTCTCAGATCTCCAAAATTAACCTGTTGATTTGGATATGATTCACCTCCCCAGTGGCTTCACAAGTATCTGCTTCAGTTAGCTCTGGTAAGTAAAATTATCAAACACTGATTCACTTTTCAGAGCTGGCTGTAAAATCAATATGAAAAGCAAAATCAATATATGACTGTTGAAATAGATAGAATTCCCTCAATAATTGAAAGCTACATCTATCTTCAAATCTTGATGAATGAATATGTGCTATTCTATCGCATAAGATTGTCCCTTTTAAAAAAAAAGTGATGAAATACAACTCTTCTAGGTAGATGGAGATTTAAATTGAGGCCTTTAATGTTTCAAATAAGTGAGAAATCACAGTCATTAGGGAGCCAAGGGCAATTTTTCCAAGGCAGAAGCAAGAAGGCAAAGACGGCAGGCTTTGGTGTTTGGTGAACTGGGGCCTAGCTGCAGCTTTGCTGCTTACTGGCAACTTAGCTTGCAGTGAATTACTTAAATTGGCTGTGCCTCAGTTTCCTCATCTATAAAATGGAACTCACAGTCCCTTTCTTGAGAATTGTTGTGAGGATCAAATACATGGTACATAGCACCTCTTGTGCCTAATCTGTACTCAGCAGTTGTCCTTGTCTCTGACATTATCATTAATTGAGTTATAGATTGCACAGTGTTGATGGGTGGTGGATTGGAGGCTCTAAAATAAGATGAGATAATGAGCTAAATGGTTTTACAGCTCTCCCTGCCAACCTCTCTTCACTTCAAGGCCCAGGAATAGGGGTAGGGGAAAGGTTTTCATCTTTAAGACAGTTAAATGCTGCTTTTCAAGTGTAATTATTCAGTGTAAGACATTAAGCAGTCTGAAATAGTGACTGCTTTTTGACTCCCATTGCTTTTGTATGTTCTTACTCATCACCCTCAAAATGTCCAAAAGAGTTGGGAAATTTTGTCATGTTTGGTGCCCCCAAAACACACAAATCCCCATTTCTGGCTTGTGGATGAATGAATCTCTGGAACTGTTCAGCTACCCAGGATTTCAGGGGCACCTAAGCCTGAGTTTGAGTCAGGAAGGCTGGTCACATGGCAGAGGGAGTGAAGACTGATGAACCAAGAATCCGTGTTCTGTGTTTGGTTGTCTCCAGTAATTGAGGCCTTCATCCTTCCAACCTCTGCCCCAGTCCTACTGCATCCAATCCTGCCTCTCCCTCCACCCTAATTTTTAAATAATTCATTCTCTTGATGAAAGAGGAGTGGTAGACCAGGTGTGGTGGCTCACGTCTGTAATCCCAGCACTTTGGGAGGCCGAGGAGGGTGGATCATGAGGTCAGGAGTTCAAGACCAGCTTGGCTAACCTGGTGAAACCCCATCTCTACTATTACAGGTGGTACACACCTGTAATCCCAGCTTATTACAGGAGGCTGAGGCAGGAGAATCGCTTGAACCCAAGAGGCGGAGGTTGCAGTGAGCTGAGATCGCACCACTGCACTCCAGCCTGGGAAACAGAGCAAGACTCAGTCTCGCCAAAAAAAAAAGAGGAGGGGCGATTTGATGGTGGACAACAAAGGTGAGAGAAACTCCCAAGAGAGATACAGTGTGGCTCTGACTAAAGTGAATAGAGAATCCACTTTAACCAGCTAAATGGATGTGTTTGTATTTTGAAGGAAGAGCCAACTTATCCCTCAATATAAGCCCTAGTGGGCTTATTATGTTAGGAAGATGGGTCTTTTCATCATCTCTTCCTTACCGGAAAAGAACGACATTTGCAGGGGAAAATGGGAAGCCCAGGGTAGGACAGGTGAGGTTTGAAGTGTCCTGCTAGATATGCTGGTGTCACCATCTCCACCCAGATCTTCCACAGTTACCTGGAATTCAGGACTGAATTCATCTTCCCTACAGGCTGGCTCCTCCTCCAAGATGCCCATTTCAGTTAGTGGCATCTCTATATCCCTTCACCCCATCTGTCTCTCAAGCTAGAAGAAACACTCACGTCATCTTTGACTCATCCCTGAACCCCAGCAATCACCAATGCTGTTCTTTACTGTGCTCTCTCCCTGTCACCCAGAGAACAAGCTAAAGATCAGAAACACAAGAAGTTTAACTATCTTTCTAATTGCTCTGGCTTCCTACTGCCTTTGGGAAATATCTCAAGGCAAGTAAAAGTGTTTGAGATCTATTCTTTTTCAGGTTGTCCTATAGAAATGTTTGAAATGTTGATGGCCCATTTCTTGTCAGATCTGATTAGATCATTACTTTTCCTTTAAAGTGGGGCTGCAGAAAAGCTCTTGCCAAGAGGAGGGATAATTGTCCACTCTACGTTTTCCTGCTATTCACATGAGCTTATATGATTATCGTCTTGTCTTCGGTCCTCAGTTTTGTTTCTTTCAGGGATCTCTTGAAATCACCAGGCTATTTTGCAAGGGCTAGTTTATTTAGAATGAAGTAATATAATCAGTGAGTCTGTATAACCAAGCACACATAAACATATGCTGAAATAAATCAAAACTGCTGAAAGAGAACAAACAAGTGAGGGATACACTAAGCGTCTCTCCCCACCCCATGTGGGGGATCTTTCCCTCATTCCTCAGAATGCCACACAACAGTGGGGCCCAAATCTGTCTGTGTATTAAATATTAGTAAAGCTTAATTTATCTCATTACAAAAAAAGGAAACCTAAATAGAGGTTCTAAGAGTTCCATTTTGTGCATCCAACCAGTGGTGCCTTGTAGAGGCTACTGTCTTTTAAGTCATGGGTCCCACAAGCTGACTGCTTCCGTGGCAGGTGGCGAAAATTTGGAAGACTTCAGGTCTTCCCAGAAGCAAGGGTAAGCTCTGGGTATCTGTCTTCAAGGTAAGTGGTTTCTTTGGAGGGTTGGGAAGGGACCAGACCCAAGAAAGACGTCTTCAAGGATATGCTGTGAAGTTAACCCTGAGTCTGAAAAATCCATTCCTTAACCTTCTAAATCATCTAAGTTTTACCATGGGTGCCTTTTAAAGTGTCCCTAAATGCCTTTTGTAAGCCTCAAAAGTGCCATCTCACTCAAGTATGCGAGGAATTGGACTAATAAAAGGCATTTTTCAAGAGCTTCTAAGCTTTGATCATTTCTCCATGGGGGAGGGGAGGATCAAGGTATTATTTTTTTATTTTTTTGCTTTGAATTAAAATTCTCTTTGAATTAGAGACACCCCACCATCCCTTAAGGATTTCATTTCATTCTACCTCCTCCAGCTCCATGTTCTTTCTTTAGAATTCTAGGAGTATACAAACAACATTTTTATACAAGGGATGGAAAATGTTTTCTAGTTTGACTCCACTGGAGATGCAACAACTCAATGAGTCTCTCTGGAAACCACAACTATGTTAGCTTCACATTTCAAACACTACTTAAAGTTCCTTAATGTTTCTTGCTCCCACAAGTACTTAGGGACAACCAAAAACCTAAAGCAGAGACAGTGTCTTTTTGAGGAGGCGTTTTAGCTTTGTCAGGATATCCCATCCTGCAGACCACCACGCTTCACCCCTGCAGCAAATACCTTCCTCATTATTCACCCACAGAACAGAAAAGGAGCTGGGAAGGGGCAGGGAGGCCATCACTCCACTCCCTGGCTCCTGGCCACTTAGCAGTAGTGAAAGATGGAACATGAGGGATGTGACAGGTTCAGTCAGCTTTTCTGGCTGCATAAACGGAGCAGAACGGAATTTTTCTGATGCATTAACGGCCTGAAAGTTCAAGTTCAGGCTGGACGTGGTGGCTCACACCTGTAATTCCAGCACTTTGGGAGGCTGAGGTGGGTGAATCACAAGGTCAGAAATTCAAGATCAGCCTGGCCAACATGATGAAACCCTATCTCTACTAAAAATATAAAAATTAGCCAGACATGGTGGCATGCGCCTGTAGTTCCAGCTACTCAGGAGGCTGAGGCAGGAGAATCGCTTGAACCCAGGAGGCAGAGGTTGCAGTGAGCCAAGATTGTGCCACTGCACTCCAGCTGGGTAACACAGCAAGACTCTGTCTCAAAAAAACAAAAAAAGTAAGTTCAAAAAGTTCAAAGTAGTTTGTGATCCTGTTCCCTCTCAAAGGAGTCTTACCTGAAGTTCTCTCTCTTTTTTTTTTTTTTTTCAACTAACGATTAAGTTTAAGTGATTGAATGCCAGAAACTTGGACTACCAGGAATCTCCCTCTGCCCAGGGCTCTTACCCCATCCCTTGGGCCTTCCTTTCCTACCTTCCCTGTTGTCTGGGTCCCCTGTCTTGACAGATGATGCCCATTAAGCACTCCAGATTGTTTTCTTCTGGGAACCATCTTCACTCTTAACTTCTGCTTGACATTTTTAGTTAATTCTCTTGCCTGCCATTATCCTAAGCTATTTAGAGAAGTAAAGTAATTCTGATGTGTACTGGCTATTACAAATAATTTCCCATTTTATAATTTTGACACAACTATCCACACTTACATTCAAGTTTTCCACACACTCCTTAGAGAAGTTTCCGAGTCCTGTGAAAAAGAGGGGAAAATAGCTGTCCCCTCACCCTGTCCACTCCCACATCCTGGAGTGATGCTCAGAGCCCTTTTCTGGGCTATAGCTGAGAGCTCAGAGCCTGTCATCTTTTATAATCATCATTTATTTTTCTCAAAATGTATTTCCTCATTCTTATCATGCAGAAGCTTATCTACCCACTCACCCAGTTTGGTAAAGATCTTCCTGCTGTTTATCACCATCAGCTTGGCATTGCACCATTTGGAAGAGCTTAGTGTTTTCTAGAAACATGGAAACATCACTTGTACGCTGGCTGAACATCATTTCTGAAAGCGGCAGCTCAGACTGGCCCTAGCACTATTCCATGCAGCGAAGTCTCCCCCCATTCCCTCCACTTAAATTATCTTTTGCTTTCTCTCTCCAGACTAGCTCACCGCCATTGTCACACCATTCTCCCAACATAGTCCTGGTGTGTTTCCTTTCTTGTAAATGCTCAAATGGTCCTTATTCTCAGAGCCTTTATATTATCTTTACTTGAGTTCTTCTGTCAATCTTGGTTTAAGGAAGCCCCCTGTCTTTCTACCAGAATGAATTTGCTATCACTGCATAATCACATTTTT